ATATATATATATATATATATTTTTATTACATGCTACCAAATAACTGCTGCGTCGCTGCTCTTAAAGCACAATCTTAATTAGTACCTTTATTATAATTAGATTTGATTAAAAAAAAAAAATTAGCTAAATTTAACTGCTGCATATCCAATGAAGCACTGGATATTGGACCTATCCTTTTGCTACTCCAACTATATTTTATAAAATTCCCTCCCTGAGACACAAGGATTGGTCATGGATATTCAGCAGTTAGGCCGAAATGCTAAGCATTTTTTCACTATAAAAAAAAGTGGCAGTTAGCCTATTTCGATCATTTCTGTATCTTCCACATTGCCGTGCCCAACTCCGTTATGTCTACAAATTGCCACGATCATAATTATTGAACGTACGGAAATTAATAAAATATATATTTTAAATCAAGTAAATTACGTAATACTTGCATATAATGTTATAATACATAATATAAAAAAATATGCTTACCTATGATTTTGTACATGATTATTATGTAAATGAAAGTGTGTTCCTCGAGGAGAAAATCCTCGCATATTACCTCTACGTGGACTTCTAGCATTTATTACCCGTGGTTGCGAGTACATATCTTCTAATATACTAGGTGCCACATATGTAAATCCCTAAAACAAATTAAATCTCGTTTAACAATAAAATAAAATTCTTTAAAAAACTGTCTAACATAAAATATATGTAAGAACATACTTGAAATACTCTATTAGCAGATTCACTTAATGTATACTCTGCAGGAGAATCTATTGGTGCAGATGTCGTAAATTTTTTATCGAATTGTGATACATCATCTTCACTTGTTAATGTTGGTCTAAAAGGTGGCTCTAATTTACGGGAAATGACGTCATTCCAATTGATATGCTTGAAAAATTGATGACCTTTTATTTGTTCTGCATCAGATGAACCAGATCCTAATCTTTGTGCAACTTGCCTCTACAAACATAATATTATTTTATTGTGTTAGTAAATAATGTAAAGTATCGTGACTTTTATGCTTCATGGAATTAACCTTCAATAATTTTCGAATGAGATCTCTGGAATCAGGTGTTAGATATTGTGGAAGATTTAGTTTACCACGTAAAATTTTTTCAATAGTCTTCTTTCTATTATCAGAAGTAAATGGTGGCTAGAAATTGACATACATAAAAATTAGAAAGTTGATTACATTAATCCATTTTAATATCCACAATAACACTTACTGAACCTGTAAGCATATCATACATCAAAGTTCCAAGACTCCACCAATCTACAGCTTTACCATGCCCACTTCTTGTTAAAATTTCTGGAGCCCTTTTATTAAAGCACAAATATTAATATTAATGTTACTTAACTGCAAAATTCCACTTGTATTTATAGTTGCAGAAATGTTCTTACATATACTCTATAGTGCCACAGAATGTATGTGTAACAGTACCATCTTGTATGTGTTCTTTACAGAGACCAAAATCAGTTAGTTTTATATGTCCCTCTGCATCTAACAAGATGTTTTCAGGTTTTAAATCTCTGAAATTTATTAACAAAATAATTTAATAATGGAATAGTAACACATCATACAATGTACTAAATTGTTCTATTTAAATTGATATATACAGAAATACTCAAATACCTGTAAATAATTCCTTGCAAATGAAGATGTTGAAGAGCCAATATTATTTCCGATAGATAGAAACTATACAAATAAAATTTGAACATATTTCTTCTTTAAAGATATTTTTGTACAATTAATTTATAATTACAGTAATTATTGAAATGTTATTATCTCACTTACCAAGCTGTTTCCTCGAGGAATATGCCTTCATCATTTAAATGTCTAAATAGTTCACCACCACACATATATTCCAAAATCAGATATAATTTGCCACCAGTTTGGAAAGCATACATAAGGTCTACGATGAAAGGATGCTGCCAGATGTAATATATATATATATATACATATATACATATATATATTTCAATGTTTTTTTTTAGATTATATTTTATTTAACATTTTAACTTACAAAATAATTAATTTTGATAAAAATACAAATGATTAAATATAATAAAAATTATTATTTATATATTTAAATGATTATACTCTTATACATATTTATTAAATACTACTTTCATTTTATATTACTAAATGAAACAATTTAATACAAAAAATCAGACGGCAAACAATTATCAAAATCGTCTGAATTATTGAAATCTAAATAGATCTGACCTACCTTTACAGCTTCTAAAATATTTCTTTCAGCTTTAGTGTGTGCAGTATCTTTTTGATTCCTTATAATTGATGCTTTACGTAAGACCTATTTTTCAAATATATACATTTAAAGATCAAACAAAAATAAAATAAGTATTAAATATATCAGATAGAATGAGAATCAAAAAAATAATTTTATATTATTTTATATTTAAAAGTATGACAATATATAATATTTAAAAAGAAAATAGGGAATTATATATAATTTACACATTTTCTTTTTTACAAAATTCATGAAAACAAAAGTGAAGAATAAAGAAAAAGAATAAAATGAATTATTTAACATAACACTTTACACATTCAATTCAAATTATATTTAGAAAAAAGGTATACAAACAAAAATTATGATTATTTATAACAATTTCTTGTTAGACAAGAAAAGACAAAGAACTTATATAATTGCGAACAAAACGGTCAATTAATGTTTTCCGTGAAATAAAATCGATGTTATTGAAAATGTTTTTTCATTCGTATTATGGGAAATTTATAAAGTATTTAAGATAGAAAGAAACTAAATAAATAAAACTTTTACATACCTTCATCGCAAAGATCGTGCCACTGTCGTTACCCGTTATTTTACGCACTTGAAAGACCTTGCCATAACCACCCTTTCCAATAACTTTACAAAGCTCGAAATCCTGTGGTCCAGCTCTTTCTCGCCCACGATTGACATTCTGTTCCGATATAGGTACTGTTTCAACACCTTCCGATCTAATAGAATGTGAAAATTGTCATTACCATGAAAACTTTCAGACATGATACATATATACAAGCGGAAAGGAGAGCTTACTCACTCGGTTATTTCATTCACATTTGGATTCGCATCGTACTCTTCCTACGTGAAAAGAAAAACGTATACGAACAGCGTTATGGAACGTGAAATGAAAATGACGATAAGGAAACTGGAGTGCTCGTGTGCAGATGGAGAATTACCTCGCCAATCTCGATAACATCATCGTCAGACTCGTCCCTATTTACCGTGTCCGCATCGTGCAATTCGATATCGAAAACTGCGGCCATTCTATGCGCGGCTAACTTAAATCCAACGAGATTTCGCGGCTGTTGTGAAGGCGAATTATTTCTTTTGTAACAGACGACGATAGCACAACAATATTGTTACACGGTCAAAACCTTGAATTACTGCGAACAAGCTGCCCTGTCCCAGAGCATACCAAACACCCTCGCCTTACGTACACTCTGATTGGCTGTGGAATTTCGTCATCGTTATGTTATCGGAGTGGGAGGGTATGTAGTTCGACCAATCGGACAATGCTATGCAAGATCTAGAAGGAATTGACAACTACGGAATTCAAGACAGTATTGCTAAGTTTTCTTAATAGTATTTTTCGCGGTTCATTCAAATACTGTAATTTTATTAATAACAAAAACCGATAATTCACGATATTATAAAGCTTGTAAATTATTGCGATGTCAAATATAAATAGAATAATCGTAAAAATTTAAATATTCATTGTATAAACTCGTACATATTAGCGTATAAAAAATATGATACATTATACGATTTCATATTGTTAATTATGAAAAAAATACTTTCTTCAATAATTATATTTTGATTGAATAATATTCAAATTTAAAGTAATAGCATATTATATAAAACACCATTAAACATATTAAAATTAATTAATTTACGAATCTACTTATCTCTTATCAACTAGATTAATATCAATCCAAAACATCTCATATAGAGAGTGTCATTATTTTACAATTGATAACAGATACTTGCATACCAAATTTTTATACAATATAAAGAAATAACAAAATTTTATTATCATTGTGTTTATTGGTAAAAAAAAAAATAAATATGGTTTTACGTCATCACATTGAAGGATATGAAAACTTTTTAAAATTTATTAAAAACTTTAAATCTAATGAATCGGTTTACGTACTTTACAGTGGTAAAAAGCTTCCCGATGGCAAAAGTTGGTGTCCAGACTGTGTTAAAGGTACATACAATTGTTCGATGGTAGTCATTTATTTTTTCACATAACCTAAATTCTATAATATGTAAGATATTTTTTAGATAATATAAATTAAAATCAATATCTTTCTTGCCATATGTGTATTTTCATGTAATTTTGTAATAAATTAATAATTTATATGATTATAGAGGAAATTTTGTTTTTGTTATAGCGGAACCCTTCATAGAAGAAGGATTCAAAGCAGCTCCAGATTCATCACATTTAGTTGAAGTTGAAGTTGGAGATCGACCATAGTAAGTGTTTTAATTAGATATGATGCATATTAATGTATTATTTAAAAAAGAAACTAACATTTAAAATATTTATTCTAATTTTAGCTGGAAGGATTTAAATTGTCCATTTCGTACAAACTCCACTACAAAATTAAGAGTTTTGCCTACGTTAGCAAAATGGAATACACAAAAACGTCTGGAAGGTGATGAATGTTCAAAAGTAGATCTCATTGAAATGTTACTTTCTGATGAGGATTAATAATTCAATTTTATATGCTAGGGAATTATATATAATTTACACATTTTCTTTTTTACAAAATTCATGAAAACAAAAGTGAAGAATAAAGAAAAAGAATAAAATGAATTATTTAACATAACACTTTACACATTCAATTCAAATTATATTTAGAAAAAAGGTATACAAACAAAAATTATGATTATTTATAACAATTTCTTGTTAGACAAGAAAAGACAAAGAACTTATATAATTGCGAACAAAACGGTCAATTAATGTTTTCCGTGAAATAAAATCGATGTTATTGAAAATGTTTTTTCATTCGTATTATGGGAAATTTATAAAGTATTTAAGATAGAAAGAAACTAAATAAATAAAACTTTTACATACCTTCATCGCAAAGATCGTGCCACTGTCGTTACCCGTTATTTTACGCACTTGAAAGACCTTGCCATAACCACCCTTTCCAATAACTTTACAAAGCTCGAAATCCTGTGGTCCAGCTCTTTCTCGCCCACGATTGACATTCTGTTCCGATATAGGTACTGTTTCAACACCTTCCGATCTAATAGAATGTGAAAATTGTCATTACCATGAAAACTTTCAGACATGATACATATATACAAGCGGAAAGGAGAGCTTACTCACTCGGTTATTTCATTCACATTTGGATTCGCATCGTACTCTTCCTACGTGAAAAGAAAAACGTATACGAACAGCGTTATGGAACGTGAAATGAAAATGACGATAAGGAAACTGGAGTGCTCGTGTGCAGATGGAGAATTACCTCGCCAATCTCGATAACATCATCGTCAGACTCGTCCCTATTTACCGTGTCCGCATCGTGCAATTCGATATCGAAAACTGCGGCCATTCTATGCGCGGCTAACTTAAATCCAACGAGATTTCGCGGCTGTTGTGAAGGCGAATTATTTCTTTTGTAACAGACGACGATAGCACAACAATATTGTTACACGGTCAAAACCTTGAATTACTGCGAACAAGCTGCCCTGTCCCAGAGCATACCAAACACCCTCGCCTTACGTACACTCTGATTGGCTGTGGAATTTCGTCATCGTTATGTTATCGGAGTGGGAGGGTATGTAGTTCGACCAATCGGACAATGCTATGCAAGATCTAGAAGGAATTGACAACTACGGAATTCAAGACAGTATTGCTAAGTTTTCTTAATAGTATTTTTCGCGGTTCATTCAAATACTGTAATTTTATTAATAACAAAAACCGATAATTCACGATATTATAAAGCTTGTAAATTATTGCGATGTCAAATATAAATAGAATAATCGTAAAAATTTAAATATTCATTGTATAAACTCGTACATATTAGCGTATAAAAAATATGATACATTATACGATTTCATATTGTTAATTATGAAAAAAATACTTTCTTCAATAATTATATTTTGATTGAATAATATTCAAATTTAAAGTAATAGCATATTATATAAAACACCATTAAACATATTAAAATTAATTAATTTACGAATCTACTTATCTCTTATCAACTAGATTAATATCAATCCAAAACATCTCATATAGAGAGTGTCATTATTTTACAATTGATAACAGATACTTGCATACCAAATTTTTATACAATATAAAGAAATAACAAAATTTTATTATCATTGTGTTTATTGGTAAAAAAAAAAATAAATATGGTTTTACGTCATCACATTGAAGGATATGAAAACTTTTTAAAATTTATTAAAAACTTTAAATCTAATGAATCGGTTTACGTACTTTACAGTGGTAAAAAGCTTCCCGATGGCAAAAGTTGGTGTCCAGACTGTGTTAAAGGTACATACAATTGTTCGATGGTAGTCATTTATTTTTTCACATAACCTAAATTCTATAATATGTAAGATATTTTTTAGATAATATAAATTAAAATCAATATCTTTCTTGCCATATGTGTATTTTCATGTAATTTTGTAATAAATTAATAATTTATATGATTATAGAGGAAATTTTGTTTTTGTTATAGCGGAACCCTTCATAGAAGAAGGATTCAAAGCAGCTCCAGATTCATCACATTTAGTTGAAGTTGAAGTTGGAGATCGACCATAGTAAGTGTTTTAATTAGATATGATGCATATTAATGTATTATTTAAAAAAGAAACTAACATTTAAAATATTTATTCTAATTTTAGCTGGAAGGATTTAAATTGTCCATTTCGTACAAACTCCACTACAAAATTAAGAGTTTTGCCTACGTTAGCAAAATGGAATACACAAAAACGTCTGGAAGGTGATGAATGTTCAAAAGTAGATCTCATTGAAATGTTACTTTCTGATGAGGATTAATAATTCAATTTTATATGCTACAATACTAAAGCTCAAAATTAGCAATTATGTAAGTCTTTAAACATTAAATCACGCTTAAAATGAATTGCTTATAAATTTGATTTTTATTAACATATATTTTAATAAAATTATTTTTTCCTTTTTTTTTTTTATAAAAATTCCAATTTTTTCCTTTTCTATAAATATATAACTTCTATCCACGTATAAACTTCTTACATTTATAATAGTAGTAGTACTTACTACAAATAAAATAAAAATTACTCTTTATAGTATAAAAACAGATTCAGATAAATTTACATGTATAATGAAATAAGTTATATTTATAAAATTTTAAAAAATTTTATAGAGTAACTATTGGTACCTAGATATAGTAAGCAATAACATAAAGTAATATAAAACTATTATTTTCTTTATATATCGATTATAGTCTAGAATGTATTTCTTAAAAAAAAATATTTTTTATGGTGTTTATTATTTTGATGTACTAATCATAATGTTATGGTGCTATTTCTTGTGTTTCTGATGGTGGTATAATTTTTACAGAATAATGGATTTTCTTATTTCTCATAATACTATATGTGTTATCAAAGATAACAGAATCTAAAACAGATAAAATTGCCAATGTGTTAGGTTCGATATTTTTATGATTTTATCATTTACGCGTAGATTTACTCACACGTAGAAGGTACTTCGCAAGTCAGAATTCCAATCTCATCTAATTGATGAGCAGCTACTCGTCGAATAGGTATCACTTCTTTCTGTATTCCACTATTATCCTTTTTCACAATACCAAATTTGATGTCATGACCTTCAGTTCGAAATTCCCAACTGTAATTATTTACAATTAATAAATAGAAAATTATCATTGTGGCTAATGTAGGGCTTTTTTTATACCTTAATAAAGACCCCATCTCAGTTACTACCATATCGATCTCCAGCTTTGCACCTTTCTTAATCGTAACCGTCGTAAAGTGCTCTCTATCTTTTTCCGTGTTAGTTACATACATTTCTTTAGGAATTTTTCCACCAAGACAAATCTAAACATAGATAATTACGAATATTATATCAGTTAAAAATTTGGTATTTGACATACAAAGGTATTCAATCATTATACTTGAGTTATCAAAAATTTGTTCAAAGTTTGGAAATGAATTAATTTTTTGTTCATTTCTTTACCTTAGTACCATATTTTGGATTCCCATCAAGATCTTTAAGAGTACCTCCAAAATAAGCAGGAACTTGGTCTCTAGCAATGGTACTGAATATGGCTGCTTGCCATTTTACAGGATCAGCTTTATATATTTGAATCTTCGATAGGGTATATTCGTTCATAAATTTCTTCGCAACGGAAAATGCAAATGCAAAAACTTTTGGCGCTATAAGATGATACAGTTGTGTTATTATATGATGACATCGTACGATTATGCTTAGCATATAAATTGTACCATTAATGATGTAACAGGTCTTTAAAATCTCCGGATAATTAGCCTCGTACATTTGAATTAAAGTAATTACAACCTCGCCAGCTGAAAAATAGTATGAAAAATACTATCAACTTTTGCCTTTAATGGAGAAATTATTGACCAGTACATGATGTGATATGAAAGCGTCTTTGATTTAGCAAGAGTTACATCACTAGTCAATCGTTTCTTATGAATCCATTGCACAAAATGCTCGTTGGTCTTATGTAAGCAATTCATTATTTTATACCCTGCTTTTACGTGTTACAATCACGTAAGCACCCAAAAACAGCTATTACCTTGTAACAGCACTTAAAGGATAGAATACTTTGAATAATTTATGTAACCATCAAACGATTGAGAAATCGATATTTACCTGGTCTCCAAAGGTATTGTCTCAAATTAAAACCCTGCATATCAAAAATTACAACCACTTGACCAGCTGAAGGACCATGCTTTAACATTTGCTCTCTACATATTTTTAAATATTCTTCAAGATGTTTTATGGTTACTCGTATCATGTCTCGCCGCGAAACTACATGCAAAATACCATAAATATCCAGGGCATCGAAGTATACGACGATTACTGTAAGAATACCGAAATTTTATGAACTTTTTCTTCTTAATTATTAATTTAGTTATATATAATTA